ATCTGAAAAGTCTCTCATAAAATTGAGGTATAGAAATTTGGAAGCTATTATCCTAGAAAAAATAATTACATTCTCTACATTTTCACTTCTAAACTCGTCTTTTTGATCCATCTCGAAAGCAATTTGCATACTAGCACCACCCATATCAATCATTCCTACTGTTTCAGGTCTTACAAGCGAGGAGTTCCAGCCACCTTTGAAATTTCCTAAACCAAGACACAGATACGAAAAACGCAAATGCATTCATGGTAGATACAAAACTTACCTAAAATATAATTGATAGCTATCCAACTGTAGATTCCTTCCCATCTGCCTTCAATTATTCGGATGTGCTCTTTCATTATCTGAAATAATACAAATCAAATGGTGAGTATCATTATCCAGCTGCAGCGGAACATTGCTGACGAAAGCTTGAATCCACGACAAACGAGGGTCATGAAGAAGTAAAGAGATGCAGAAACATAACCTCATAAGAATTCAATTAAAATCTGTTCGGTTTCATACTTCGATGATACAAGTAAACCCGGCACTGATAGTTTATACTTTCATTTATGATAATTGCGAATACGTGATACTAATGAGAGTAATGGAAAATATCTTCACTTGCTTATTATTAGGACAAAAACACGAAAAACAGACACCCAATGGAAATAATAAACCGAAAAACGCTAGAACACTAACCAAAAAAGCAAAACAAAGAGCTTACCTGCATCGGTGTCATTTGCGGGAGTTTCGTGTGGAGATCGTAGAGAATGGCTTGCTGTTGTCTGAAATTCTATGAATCGTGAGAAGAATAAGGACCGGATTTGCACGCTTACTTTTCCGGAACAAGCCGCATTCCCGCCGTTGCGAGAAGAAAGACTGGTGTATACGGTAACTTGTCAAGAGGAATAAACTGTGAAACATAATCCAGAAGCGGCTTCACATACTCTGAATAGCTTCAATTTTATGATACTCGAACCACTCGGATTGACAGTTTAAACCTACCAGCTGCTTCATGTGGATGATCTTGGAATGAACTGAGCCCTGGGCTAATCTTTTTCACAACGGGAGTGTTGAGATGATCGAGAGCAGGGGAAATATTGATGAGCTCTTTGTCTGAACGGAAATACATGACGTAAATGCAAATACATTCCATCACCAATTTACAATGCGAATACGAGAAAGGCCTGTTATAGAGTTCATTGTCAAGCAAAAACATTCGCATAAGAATGGATATGCATCATTCAACGACATTTTCGAAAACATACGATGAAAAAAAA